TCGGTTTCTCCAGGCTCGCAGAAAGCCGCTTTCCGGGTAATGCCATTAAGTGCTGATGAGAAAGCTGCGGGGCCGCAGTGACCCCGCGGAAGCGAGCTTGGGAGCAGCTGGATGGGGAACTCCGGGGGTTCCGTGTGCCACCCTCCCCAGCCCCCTCGGACAGGGTTGTGCTCAGGGGAGCGTGTCCCCGAACATCCCGAGCCCGTCCGTGTCACAGCATCCTCTCTCCAGGAGCCCGCCCCCCTTCCTGCCTCTCTCTAGACCTCACTGATTTCCCACCCTTTGCCCTCTAAAATCAGGAGGTAGTTCAGAAAGGGTTGGAATGAAATTCTTCCCTTTTGGGGTGACTAACTTCTTTAAAGAACTTCCATGGTTTAGGAACTGACTTGTGATTGACATTGTCTTCATTTTGACAGGGATTTACTATTCAATACTGACTTCTAAATCGATATTTAAATATATATATAAATATCCTGGTTTTTAACTGAGTGATCATAGTTTCCTCTCAGCTCCTTCTGGACTTCATGCTGTTCTTTGCACGACAATTTTGTATTTGTATTCTGAAAAATTATTTCTGACATGGTAATGTTAGAAAAAACCAGAAAGCATACAGGGCTCTGCTAAAGTCACAATGGGGTGGGGAAAGCCTCTTTAAAAAAAACATCCCTTCACAGACCTTGGAATTTTCTTCAGTGATAAATAGTCCCTGTTGACAGTGTGGATGTGGTGACTGGCGATGGCAAGGGGAGCTTATCAGTCAGTGCACACAGCTGGGTGAGGCTGGGGTGCCTGCCAGGTATCCATGCAAGCATCAGTGAGTTGCTGGAGTTCAGGGTGCTGGGGGTGTTCCTGCTGGAGGGGATGAAGTAGAGGCTTTAGGATTAGAGCTCAACCCAGAGCTGTAAATGCATTGTGCTATGGATGAAGGCAAAGGAATTTTGGGAAGCTGGATTTAGCCTGGCTCATGGGAGCAGGGAAGCCCTGGCTCACTGCAGTGGCTGTGCTGCTGTTGTATGAATGCAGCTGGTGAGATGGAAAGCAGCTCAGGCTTCTCCTCCTCATCCTTTTGTGCTTTTATGTGCAGGGACTGTAGAGCTAAAAGGACTATTTGAAACTAAAAAAGCCTATTTACAGGTGCTGTAATTTTTTATTGTAGTGTATGATGCCCCTAGTTTGGGCTGGATGGACAGACTGCGAAGGATGTGAGGGACCTTTTCAGGTCCAATCTTGTGACTAGGAAATAAATCTACTGTTTTGTCTTTCAGTTGCTTCAGATTGCTGCAAGAGAAGATGAAGTCTAGAAGTAGGGTCTTTGTTTAAAGTTGTTACTGGAAAAATTAGCTTTTAGCACTTACTGAACTGCAACTCCCCTGCAGCAACAGTACTCCAGGAAGCTGAAAGCAGCAATTATTCTTCCTGTTGCCTTCTCTTTTTGCCTTGTCTTTCCACCTTCTCTGCAGGCTGCAGAAATAGATCTGGGCCTTCCTGCTCAGTGCTGCATTCCAGCCAAGCTGATTGACTCTCCTGATGACATGCCTCTGAAAAATGGAAACGTTTCACTCTTGTTTTAACATTCTTACTGTAAATTGCTGGTTTTCTTGTGAGAATAAAAATGTTGATGCCTCTTAGGAAGATGATGAGTGCGTGGGGTTACACAGATGCTGAAGAGTTCAGGTTTGAAGGTGGTGATTGTTGCTTCAGTGAAGGCACAGTGAAGATGAGTAGCTTAAGCTTCTTGCTCACATTACTGTTTTCTTGTACTTTGAATCTTCATCTTCTGGAGTTGATTTGTGAAGGCAAGGTAAAGAAGAAAAGAATGTTGTATAAGCCTTCTTTTCCTTTCCTTAGGAATGCTTTGATTTGATTTCTCCACTATATATTTGAAATACTCTCCTTGTTTTAATTTAGTCCTGAACTGTCATTGTTTTAAAGTAGTCCTGAACTCGTACTAACAATGGTACAAACATTGCTCCATAGGCACAGATGGAATTACCATATGTTGAAAGTAACATTAAACAGGAGATATCCTGCACCCCACCCCTTCAGTGCATACAGCTTTCTGAAAGAAAATAGCTGATAAATATTCAAGGCAGATATGAGTGCATTGGATGTAAGCATGGACATTGTAAAGCATTCTTGTATGGGTAAGCAGAACTAACTTGCCACAAGAATTTAATGCTTCTGGTAAACCTCAGTGTGGGCAGGATTCAGTCCACACTGACCACTGGAGCTGAAGAGGGGACTGTGTTTGTGAAGAAACGTGCTCCCTCTGGAACTCCTGCTGAAGTAAAAGGGTACTGGTGTAAGGGAAGGAACAGCCATTGTGCAGGGCAGGTCAGCCTGGCTGCATTTACACTTTCATGTATAGATCAAAAAGTCGAGAGGTTAAAGACTGAATCTTATATTGTTTTCTGAGCACTTGCTTTCACAGCTCTTGAGCATATTTGTAATTTGTGCCCCACCTAACTTCCTTGAGCTGTTCTCCCTGATGCAGAGTACTTCCCTTTCCTGTGTGACTTTTCCTCTCTTCATTCTGTTTCCACAGCAATCAGGACTTTATGAATATAAAATCTTTGGTGGTCTTGCTGACATTCCCCCAAAATTGTGTGCTGATGTCTACATGGACTTGGATTTCAGAAAAAAGTGGGATCAGTATGTTAAAGGTAAGCTCATCTAGGCAGTGTAAAAGCACACTGGAATCCACATTAATTCTTCCCACTAAAACTTTCTTCAAAGATATTTTGGGTCAGACTTAAATATCTTTTGGGATAAGGTTGCACTCTGCAAATACACAAGTAAACACTGATATGGAATCTCTAATGTCTCAACAGTATTTCCTCTGGAATGAATTCTTTCCATGTTGGTTAAAGCATATGATTGGCATCACTGGTTATGCTGGAGCACTTGTAACTTCTACTTGTAATGCTTGGGTTAAATTTTAGTAGATGTCTTGGGGAGAAATGGGGTGGTACCTTCTGTGCATCTTTGCACAGGGCAGGGGAGCAGTGCATCATGGAATTGCAGGTTGGAAGGGACTTCTGGGATCATCTGGTCCAAACTTCCTTGGTGAGAGCACGTTCAAGACAAGACAGCCCCGCACCCTGTTCAGCTGAGTCTTAAAATTTGTCCTTGGGGAGATTATTTCAAAGGCTAATGTCATTATGAAAATTTTTCCTCAGGCCTTCACCAGTTTGATGTATGATGGAATATCTTTTCCTGAAAGCATGGGTTGTTCTTGGCACCTTTTACAGTCAGGAATGGGTGTATCGAGAGTGAATGGCTTTTACAGAGAAGGAATAACTAATTTAGTTAAATTTATTAAATGTTATCTTTGAAAAGGGCATTAAACCTGGATATCCATATGGTGCTAAAACATCCTAAGTCAGCAGTAACAAGGTAAGGGTGCAGCTGATGTAGGTATCTAGGAATCCATTTATTTTAAAGATGGGGAGCATTTTCTTTTTAAGCCTGTGCTTGAAGTCAGAGCAGGCCAGTAAAACTGAGAAGTGGTCTGAGTGTTTTGCTGAGCAAAGAGCAGTGTTAAAAACCAAAGACTTGTTAAATGTTGTGCTTGTAAGGTTTAGAACAGCTCCAGGGTGAATGATTGCTGATAATGCCAGTGGCTGCATTGATACAGAGAGCCATAAATTTAACTCATGTCAGTCTTGGGCAAATTTAAGGAGTAGTGTCTTCATGAAGAAGTGTTAATTGTCAAAACGATCAGTAGCTTTCTTGTAGCAAAAGCCATTTTGCCATTAATGAAACAGAGTCAGAGTGGGACTCAGCTTTATTGTATTGGATGTAAAAATACTCTGTTGAGTTACTTCAGTAGTCTTTAAGTGCATTTAGGAGAAATGAATGCTTCTTAAATAAACACTTTTTTTTCTTAATTCCTTCATAGAGAAAAGAAAGGAAGCTGCTGGGGGAAGCTACACCCTTAAACTAAAAACTAGATAATGTTGCAGAGCTGACATTTATGTCCTTGTTGATCATGGTTTGTTCATCTCTTAATTTATACTTGTGCTGGTGCTTTAAGTCCAGCATTTCACAGAAATTAACTCTTTGAGGGCTTAAATATAACGTAAGGCTTTCCTTCCTACTTAAAAATTGACACAAGCCCACCTGTTTTTTGGGATGATACATATGATGAAAGTGCTAGCCAATGTTTTAAATGTAACCCCAGTTCAACTTGGGTTTTTTCTTTCACATTTGGGAAGAAACCCCAGAAAACTTCCATTGAGAGCCTTCTTGCTCTTGGTGTTACTGTTTTTATTCCTTGGTGCTCTTACAGCCATGCAAGTGGCAGTCCAAAGGAGAATTCTCTGCTGAACATGGAAATAAAAACCTGATCAGAGCAGAAGTAGCTGCCTTTTTAGCTGAAAAGGCAACTGCTTCTGCATGCTCCTGAATATCTACAGCATGTGGACACCCTGGGGCCGGGTTTGTGCTGCAGCTGCCAGCTCAGCAGGGAAGTTGTGACTGAGGAACCACGTGCTTCTGTGGCATGGTGCAAAATGGTTGGGCCTGAGCAATACTGAAACTGGCTGGTCCTGATTGCAGCACCTTCCTGACTGAGATCAGACTTCCCAACCATTTCACAGTGATAACTGACTGTTGAAGCAGTAAGTGCTGCTGTCCCTATTATGGATGGAACAGACTTGTGATCTCTTGTAGTGATGCTAAATGAAATCAGATTATTATTAAATGCACTGTGTTCTGGTTTGAAGTGAATGCAGGTGGGATGTGGTTTATGTATTGTGGTTTTTTTCCTGTGTTTGCAAAAATACACAGGTAAATGAGATAGCCAAAAAGAGTTGTATTGGGGTCTTTAAAACACTGTCATGGTGCATTTGTAAAAGGAAATCTCTGTGGTTAGGAGTGAAAGCTAAGTGAATAATCCAATGCTCCAGTGACCTCTGGTGGAAAACATAAATGTTGTGGGTTATTACAACACCAGGTGAATCCAGTGCTGCTCCAGCTGGAGAAGAGGAGAAGTAGTTTCTGTGGGTGACAGCTGATCTGCAGGGCATGCCAACAGAATCCTGGTTTGGAATAGTATATAGGGAAAGAATCTCCCATCTGGGGCACTGTTCTTGCCTTGTCAGTGAGATTATTGGTTTATTCTGGCCTCACTTCCGAAAACCTGGCTCTGGAGGATATAGAGCACCTCAGGCACAACTCTGCTGCAAAGGAAGAAGAGACCCCTGTGAGTGTGGAGGTGAAGCACCTTTCTGGATCCCACTGTCCTTTACTGCAGACCCTGAGCCAGCCCTGGCTCAGCCCCAGGGCTCATCAGGTTCCATTTTTGCCTCAGGGAAGGAAGCTGTGCTGTAGATAGGTTTCCAAACTCGATTGTGTGGTTTGATAAGAACTAATTTTTCTCCTTCAGACTACTCTCCAACTGAGTCACTGCTATGTTTTAGGCACTATTCTTAGGTTACTTTTTTTTCATATTCTGCTGCCTTCTGATTTGAGTTTCCAGGCAGACTGAAGGTGGTGTAATGAAGGCTCATGAACTGCTCAGGATTCTAGTTTGCTGTTGCATGTATATACTGCTGTGAAATTCCTGACAGCTTTTCCAAAATTCATAAATCCTCATGTAAGATGTCTTCAGGTGTTAGAAAGCTGCACTCATCCTAGTTCCATGTTAATTCAGTATAATTTACAAGGGTGCTGACATGCCTGTGAAAAAGCACATTGTACTCGTGACTTAGTCTTGTGCACAGATGAGGAAAAAGCTTTGAGATGGAAAAGGTTTGAATGAGCAAACTGTTGGAAAAGGAATTTGACTCTGTTGCCCTCAGAATTGTTCTCATTTTATGGTCTGGGGGTTCTGGATTTTTTTTTTTGTTGTTGTTTTTTGTTTTTTGGGTTTTTTTCCACCAATTAATCCAATGGCCAAAGAAAAACAGGCTACCTATTTTTGTGTATTTGATTCCTGAACAATCCTGGTACAGAACATCTTAATGTCTCTTACTGCTAAAATCCTACACACCTATCAATTTTGACATCAGGGTTGCATGTAAAATGTGTTCATGTCAGAAATCTGAGCAGTTCTTGATGCCATCTATATTTCTGTTGCAGTAGAAATTAAAAATATCTAACAGTCTTCTTCTTTCAACCGTAGAACTGTATGAGGAAACATATGATGGTGAAAAAGTAATCTACTGGGAAGTGAAGTACCCTTTCCCTCTCTCAAACAGAGATGTATCCTTTCAAGTTTTTGTTCCTCTTGCAGTTTCTGCCACTTGGCCATCCAGGAATCCAAGCATTGAACTGATTCCATCACTGGGCTGCACTGATCTAAGATCTTGCAGTCCTCGTGTTACATGAATATATGTGGCATGAAGAGGAGCGTGGGTGCCTCTTCCCACACAGAGCTAGAGCTCCCATAGCTGAATTACTGCTCTGCAGGATTGAATCCTGTAGGGACATGAGAAAGAACTTGAAGGAGGGGCTGTTTGTGATGGAACTCACTTGTCAGCTCCTCATCCCTCCAAGTGACATTGTTTTGACGTGGCTCCTCAACTTGCAGTGCAGTATGTCTATATCCGCGAGAGCCGGGAGATGGATGTGCAGGGGAGGAAGATCTGGGTTGTGTTGGCAAAAAGTGTGGCTGTTCCTCAGTGCCCTGAGAAGCCTGGTATTATCAGAGTTAAGAGCTATAAACAAAGCCTGGTAATTGAAAGTGATGGCAAGGCTGGAAGTAAAGGTAAGAGGTCAAGGAAATGTGTGGCAAGTCGTGTAGGCAGGGAGTGTATATATTAGCAAAACACACAAAGAGGGGAACTGGAAATTTTAAGCCAAGGTTTACTTTAAAATGAATGAAACCTTTGGAAATGTCCAGTGCAGTGCACTAGTGTGAAGAATCTTTTTATGTAGCAGTTGGGCTGGGTGGTTAAGAATAGTCCACTGGCCACTTCCTTCTGCCCTCCCATCCCAGCCCCAGTCTGTGCTGCTTTTCCTGCCAGACAGTTCAGCTGGGGAGACACTGCTGCAATTTTCTTAACTCAGCAATGATTCAAGTACTGTGTTTGACAGATGTATAGATGAAAGGGTTTGCCTAGAGCTTGACTTCTGTCTGAGATTAGTCTTTTAAAGACAGTCTCATTTTATAAGACAGGGTGCCAAAAATGGTTTACAGTAATCAAAATGCCTGTTGTGGCTCTGTCAGCTTCCCAGAGGTTAACAGAGAATGCCTGTATTTACTTCACATTTCACTTCAGGACCAGTTGGATTTTTTGTGCAGAATTGAGAGTAGAACTGTTGTAGTTGGTGCTTCAGGATGCACTGACAGCTTCTGCCACAGTGTGTTAGAGCTGAGGCTCAGGTCACTGGTATCTGGTAACTTCTCTCTCCTCTCTAGTCTATATGTACTACTTCGATAATCCTGGTGGCATGATTCCAACCTGGCTGGTCAACTGGGCTGCCAAGGTAAGGAAAGGATGCAGATAATGATCTTTGGCTGATCTGTTTCAAGCAATGAATTCACTGCAGTCATACCCATCTTCTATGTTTTGGGCAGAATTATTTTTTTCTGGAACAGACATATCAGTGTTCCTAGCTTTTACACCGTCCCATGTTTTCTGTCTCACTATTGTATACTCTCATGACAATGGTCTTAATTAATTTACTTATTTTAATTCCTGTCAAATTCCTTTGGTTTTTCAACCAGGCAGGTAAATTTCTGCATCAAACTCCAAATTATCTGTGTTTCAGAGAATATATGAATAGCCTTAAGACAAGCAAACTTCAGTAATGCAGTTTATTCCCAAAATATTCAAAGAATGGCTTAATGCTATGTACCAGATCTTAGACTTCATCTTAGAAAATTGGGTATTAGATCTTAGAACTGTATCTGTTTGATGTCCTTGATCGATATAAAGGAAATGCTCATTTTGCTTATAGTTTTTATTGGTTTCATTATGCAAGAATAACTTTTCTGCCTTTCTCTTTACAGAGTGGTGTGCCTGCTTTCTTGAAGGATATACAAAAAGCTTGCCTTAATTATTCTAAGACACATGGGTGTTGAAATTGATTTGAATAATTTAATTCCTAGATCTCTGCTCTTACAGGAGCAGATGTATATATACTGGATATATACTATTTATATATTACACTGGATGAAATCTACCTCTAATATTGGAAAGAATTCTATTTTATTTTGAGTTATGCCTTGAGTTTTATTACATTTTTTTTCGACTGAAGAGCTGGCCACTGGCAAAGTAGCACCAATATCAACTGCAGCTTTTGAAAATACTCAAGTTTTACCTTGTTCCCCATGCTTTGCTTATGCTGGTGGTCAGGTATCAACTAGAGGAGTTCTGTGCTGGATATGTTACATCCTTGCACAAGAAACAACAATCTTACCAGAAAAATGTCTGGACTTGGACTTATCTGCATGTGTTATGCCTGGATCTGCTTTTGCTACCCAAGTTTGTCATTCTTAAACTCTCTGCCTGATATAAACCTAAAAAATGCTGAGGAATGAGGTAAATTACTAGAAATGTGCAATAGGAAGTCTGTGATGCTAAGCTCCCTTAAATCCAGCTGTAAAAAGATCAAGCCTAAAGCCGTGCATTCACAGCTCCATACTTCTGCATGAAATGTAAAAACTTTTATTTGTGTCCAGCTGGAAGAAAAACAGACTTCTTGCATGTCTGATATAAGGGGAACAAGTTTTATCTCCAGAGTCAGTAGCCTTATCTATAAAGCAGCTTGGACACCAGCTTGAAACTGGAGGTAATTTTAAACTGGGTGCTTGCCACTAAATGTGGATGAGCTTGATGTGGAACTTGGGCTTGCTTGCATTTTTAAATTTAATGCTGATATAAAGAATGGATGGTGACACACTAAAAGCTTAACTGAGCAGGAAATTAAATTTCCAGCACCTTTTCTGGGGGTGGGGTGGAGGGAGGAGGGACAGGGAGTGCATAAAGGAGTGAGAGGACACCATTCTCAGGGATTTAAAATATTCAACATTTTTCCTAAATCGAATCCTGTTTCTGAATAAGTCTGGTAATGGAGTAGCTTTGTGTTGTAAAAAATAAACAATTGAAATGATGCATTTACACCTTGTGTGACTATTTCCAATAAATCATTATTTTGTCCATGTAGTGTTCTTGTTCTGTCTCCATGGTTTAAGAGTTCCACGCTGGGCAGGTCACACATGACAGGCTGATACTGTGAGCTGCCTTACTGTTAAAGGATTTTGAAAGAATAAGTTGGATTAGAACTAAGCAGGATTCTTGTGTTCTGCCAGCAATTCAGGCATTTTTCAATGTGTTTGACCTGGAGACTGTCACTGGATTGGATATTACAGTGTTACACAACATGATATAACAAAATTATAAAAGGAGGATGAATCTTCCTGGAACAATGATGCAGACTAATTAATTTGCAGGTTTTTCTGAACAAAACTGACCTCTGTGCCACAGCAGTCCAAAACTTTCCTGTAATTGTAAACCTACCTTAAAATTTGAGTTGAAATGTTTATAAGCAACGTGTACCTAGTGAGCTGAGTATGTGCACAGAGATGAATCATGTATAAAATAGGTCACTTTTTCATTCTTTTTCTCCAGGCAATCTAATTTTGTTTAGTCTTTAAGGAAGTGAAAGCAGGAGGAAGACTGAAAGCATTTTATAATCATGAATTCACTTTGTCTTACACTGGGTATCTCTGTGTGTGCAGTGTGCTGAGACACTGGGGCTGAGAGCTCAGGGGGCTGAATGGCTCCATTGTCAATCCTGCTGAAAATTGGATTTCCTGCAGACCCTGCACTGAGCATGCAGAATACACTGCCTTTGCTCACATTTCCATGCTGAAACCATTGCACAGGCAGCTTCTTGTGCTAGACAACTTTCTAAATTAAAACGCGTTTGATTAAACAGCAGATACTAAACCCAGCTTTTCCACTGTTTACAAGCAACTAAGCAATGATGTGAGATGAAAGCAACATCAGATCTTGTCTTAAGTTCCCTGTGGGCTTTTAAAGTAACATAAATATGCAGTGACACTTCAGTTTAAGTCTGGGTTACTACACCCATCTTGTATTACTAGGGAAGAAAAGTTCCAGCCTGTGTGATGAGGCTTCGTATCTGCATGGAAGATTGTGACTAAAAAGAGTTGGTATTTTCAGTCTTTGGATGTAAAGACATTCTTAAATCATTTTAGAGCATTATTAATGGCTGATTAAATATTGATCTTTCATAAATTACACATGTGTCATGTGAGCCTACCTGGATAGCTTGAGCAGGAATTTACCTGCAGGGAAAGTTGTTAAGTCACCATGCATTATGAATTCTGGTGCACAGGGTTATGAAACATGAAACCCCTTCTCATGCTATTTGTTCATGTAGCACCTTGAAGTTGGTTTTGTTTCACCAGCTTGCCTAAAACTGGAGTGCAAAGTTAGTTCTTTTAGTGATCTGTTGTAAGGAAATGATTGTTTAAATAAAAAAGGAATGAACATTTCTGTTAGGTGATGACTGAGCCTCTCATCTTCTCTATCCCACCCCAGTTAACAGATTGGGAGGTATCACACTACAGATTAACAGGGACTAATGAGGTTTCTCAGCAGCCAAATAGAACTAGAAAAATGCTGTAGTTTCAGTCAACAAACAGGCATCTGCTCCAAAGTGCAATATCAGAGTTTGCATAAGTCATAATGAGCTTTGGATCTATTCTCATATAGAACTTCTGTTGTAAATTTAGCAGCTCTTACTGAAACATATTTTGGCATGTTCTCCACAGAAAGAAGTGATGGTTTTTTTGGAATGATTGGTTTCCCCATCCCCTGTTTCCATAAGGAATGATGCTGTAACAAAATGAATATAAATCATTCTTCCATAATGTGTTCCAGCCATTCAACTCCATTCTTTCCATGCAATCTCTCTGTAAAATGAATGTATTTGAGTTGGAAGGTAAAGTAAGGCAAAGATTCTCAGTAACCCAAAGTGAACACAGAGAATGATGTTAGATTCACAGTCACTGGAGCTGCCTCTTAGAAGATAAGATGTGCAAAGGGAAACACAAATTAGTACCTGTAATATTAAGATTTAAGTGAATTTGCCTTTATCTGTACTCTCTGTATTTCCTGCAAATTCCAATATTTTTCTAAGGCCTGTTTCAGCTCTGGAGGCAAAAGAGATTATGTGATGTACTGTAAGAATCAGGTTTAGCTCCAAGCTTAATTGTCCTATCATTCTTCATGTATGTAAGAAACCCATGAGAATTAGTCATGTTCTTCCTAGGATGACAAGTTTGGGATTGAAGCAGTTCTTCTACAACACATAAGGCCAAGGGCTCCTCTGTTCTGTGACCAGAGGCCTGCTGTGAAGTTACAAGGCTCACTGCATTTCTGCATATTTTGGAAATTTTAAGTCTTTTCCTGTTTCGATTACTCGGAGCCATGGGGAGTTTGGCTTTTATTATTCCTGGTGCTTATACATGTCTTCCAAAGCATGATAGAAATTGTGTGTAATTGCCTGGAAATAGATATTTCACATACAGCTGCAACTTGCAGTTATATTTTAAGAGTGGATTTTAAATATTATTTTTATTGAGACCAGGCTACTGCTGTGCATTTTAAAGTAAATGTGTTTTCTCAGCACGGAAGCCATAGAACCGATTTGTGCATTTGAGTGGACCTCACAAGAGGCCAGAATTGCCTGGCCAACCATTAACCCTGTGGAAGGCTCATGATGCTGTTCAACTATTCAAATGAAAACAAACAGTAGGAACATGCCTTCAGCAGGAAATTACTGTGACACTAGAAGGGCCTATTGTCTCAGAGTGTGAGGTGGGCATGTGTAAGAGTACATGGCCTTCCACTGATTTTTTTTTCTTGTAACATGGGAATAAACTGACCCTTGATAACATTTAAGGTGTGGTTCTAAGAACCATGAAGCTGAAAGCATTACCACTGAATAATGAGCTTGATAAATTCACTACAATGACAATCAAGCATTTAGAAAAACAACTTTTAAATCCATTTGGAACAAGTTAGAGAATAAGGATAAAGAAGTAATCTGAGGATCTTTTAAGGGCTTTCCTCAAAAACAGGCCTAGAAGTACCTGCCAGGTCACCAAATGCAATTTTAGGCATTACATAAGTCCTTCCCTTGCATAAAGTATGTTTCACAATTTTGTGCTTAAGCCATCCTCTCTTTCAGACTTGTAATTCTGTATGCTCAATATCTTTCCTAGTAAGTTTGTTGTGAAAATATGACTTGTGTAGAGAACTTGTATTTTGCTCTTTTTTTAGTAATTTTTTTTAGTGGCCAGTAGATATCAGAATGTTTTATGCCAAAATAAAAAAGGTTTTTCTCAGTGATGATAATCAGCAATTAAACAAATTGCTTTGAGAGACTCTGAAATCTCTGGTTTTGGAGATCTCAGAGCTGAAGTGGACAAGGCCCCTGGAAATTTATCTGACCTTGAAATAAGAGCCAGCCTCAAATTTGTTGCTGCTCTGGTCATCATTTGGCTGGATGATGAGATGATCCTGTATGTCCCTTCCAAGCTGAATTATTACAAGATTTTCAATATTAATAAAGCTAGGCGATTACAGTATGAATCCTTCTGAGAAGGCAGCATTATTTTCTTTCCAAATGCTGTTATTTAACAGACTGACTTCCAATGAGATACAATGAGACACAAAAGTGTATGAAAAGCCTACAATCAAAATCTGTATTAAAAACAGGTACATAGATATTTTTGGCAAGATAGGTTTTGGAAGCTGCTTTGTTGCTTTAATTTCTTATTGTAACTAAAATTATTGGTATGAAGTCAGTGAAAAATCTGAGAAATTTAAGCTAAATTAAATGAAGGCAGATTTTCTGAATTTTTGTTAGTGAAACAATATCATAATAAGCATTACATTACATTACACAAGCAATAACATTATTGAGTGAGAGCATGGTGCCTAAGTTTGGAAAAGGACAGCAAGAGCAGACAAACTGAGGCTGAGCTGCACACTGCCAGAAATGTTACTGGTGCCATTTGTTAGTGCTCATTTCCTGCTGCATCCCGCAGCTGCAGATCATACCTGAAAGGGTAAAAGCTGGGAAAGGGCCAACTGGGCAAGGTTGAGATGTAATCAAAGAGAAGATAAAATGCCGATTTAGAATATCTAAGAATTCCATGATGACTCTGTAGTTTTACCGTAACTATCAAGGCAGTATTTTTATAGACAGCATGCTAAGCTAAATAGCACTCACAATATTTTAGCCTTATACATTGTGGACTCTCTTTTTGTCAGATGGGAATCTATATTCAATCACATTTAATTAAAATTAAATTCATATTAAAGGATATTTACTATTAGTAAGTAGACTCTTCTTCTCCAGATCTGGTGCTTATTACCAGCCCAATTCAATATTTAGCAACAGAAGAAGAACAAATCTTTGTGTTGATCCCATCGTGGACTTTCTTCTCCCCAGCCCAATGATGGATATTTCCAATTGACATTTACTGCTGAATGCCATGTCCTTTACTGTCACATGTCTTCCCCTTTCCCTTCCCCTTTCAATCCTGTGTCAACATTTGGGATGAGCCCAAATCCCAGTGTGTGACCTGACCTGGTGACATCGTAGCCCCCAGAGCTGCCAACCTGGCCCTGCTTCCTGCTCCAGAGAGGAGCACAAACAGCCCTCCCAAGGATCATCTGCTGCCCAGATATTATCTTTATCTCTGTTGCTGCTTGTCCATTTTAATGTACTATAAAAATCTTGCATGGATTCACAAACAGCCCTCTCAAGGATCATCTGCTGCCCAGCTATTATCTTTATCTCTGTTGCTGCTTGTCCATTTTAATGTGTTATAAAAATCTTGCATGGATTCTTGGTTCCCAAAATATGTGTTTGGATCTGTGGATCTGTACTTATTGGGGAATAGGAATTACATCTTTCGGGATTTGTAACTGTTGAAATTAAGAAAAATGAGGGGGAAGGATGAAAGTCACACTGAAAACACAGTAGTAAATATGAAATTATGTTGGTCAGTGTTAAGCAGGGCAAGAGCATTCTGAAAACAAACTATGTTTTTTGTTTAAAATTATGTAATTAAATATATCCAGTATATTTTATAATAAAATCTTCAATTTAAACAACAGGG